CACGCTGTAAACTCAACACACTCGGTGGAGGAGCATTGGTCTCACGCTGTAAACTCGTTCGTCATCAAGTCAACATAAGACACATAGTATGAAGTAATTAATAGTAATAAAAATAACAACACAAACAATCCAATTTATAAAATACATATAAATAATAGAAATATTATTGTAATATATTTTTATTTTATATTTTGATATTTTGTTTTTTTAATTTGGTTTAACTGTGCAGGTGTGGTTATGATAATGAGAATCATAGGAACTGGAAAATTAAACGAAAAACAGTTTTGCTTAAAATAATCAGAGCATTTGTTTTTATTAAACATTGCTGTGCTAAAAAATTACAAAAGTATTTTAGATTAACAAAATATATAAATTAAACCTACAAAAAACATGTACAGCAAACAAACCCAACTAAAAGGTGTCAAACTGGAGTAACTCCATATTGCCATATTTACTTACTGTACTGTTACTGAATAATCCGTTGGGAAAAAACTAAAATATTTAAAACATAATAAAAAACTAGATTTCTGATACAAATCTTTAGTGTGAAAAGTTGAGAACAATAAACCTGAACAATGTCAATGCTTCACATGATTTGTGTCTGCAGCATGACTGGATGTGTTTGTATGATTTCCTTCAGCATACGATGGTGTTTGAGTGGGAAACAGTGTGTGTAATATCTGTGGGATGTGTTGGATGTTGTCGGAGTGTGTGAGGAAGACCACAAGCTTGTGTTTAGGAGAATTTCTTGATGAAGCGCAGCTTTAGGTAAGCGATGATGAGGAAGATGAGGGTCATGATTCCCAGAGCCAAATGATTCTGCCACATACCCCAGGTTGAGTAATCAATGCCCTGATCGCTCAGAAAGCCCTCGCCTGTCGAACAGCTGCAATGACAAAATGATGAAAACATTATCAAAAGTACTTTAGCATCATTGCACGTTGGTTTTCTACACTAGCTACATTCACATGCAACCAAATAATCCGTTAGTAATTGGATTGATGGCTCAATCGGACTGAAAAGCCTTCATTAATCGATCTAACTGAGCACGATCCACATGAAATTTCGATCAGATTAGAAGGGATGGTGTAGACCTATTCTAATCAAATCGAGAGGACATGCACACACATGATCGGATTGAAAACCGAAACTGCGCATGTGCAATGACATCTTCACTTGCTCGTCTTCTCCTAGTTAGGACCCAAAGTAGATAAATATTAAGTCTACTCTTTAAAACAAAGAAAAGAAGCAATGGCCGGAGAATAGTATGTGCAACCAGCAGGAAACTGCATTTTCGTGCAGTGTGCGCATGTCAAAAGATCAAAGCCGATAATTTGTAGAGTTATTATTCAGTATTACTTTTTTTTTTTAATTATCATGTTTTAAAAATTATTTTCTTGTTTTAATAATTACATATAACTTTACATTAACTAATATCCTTTAAACTTTCCATTCCCTCACCTATTCTACAGTTAGTGAGGTGAGGCAGAGATTAAATCTAAATAAATGATTAATAAATAATTACGGTCTTTGCAGTTATTGCAAATACTTATAAATGCCCTTAATCACGGTACACTCACAGCCTCATGTGGTATATATTGATTTATTATTCCTGTTTAAACCTGTGTGTGTGTGTGTGTGTGTGTGTGTCTGTGTGAGAGTG